GACTTCTAAAAATAAGAACTCAATTCTAGCATCTCCCTTTTTATCCTGAAACTACCCTTAGATTTGGTTCAAATGCATGGTGTAAAGCTATGAGACACATAAATAGAAATGTCAACTATAGGAATATTAGGATGTGCACAAAAATTCAGGGTTGGTTTTTTTTTTTTTTTTTGGCTTTGATATATAATGTGAACCAGAAAGATGAGTCACTGAACCTTCCTGCTGTTCTTCCAAACTTACTACTTCAAATGTCTGAAACCATTCTTAGATGATAGTGCTGAAATGTGACATACTAGATGTCCCCATGGTTCAGACACCACATATCTTGGGCATGTATACATGATTAAGATACAAGATTTTACAGCCAATGAGGCCATCCAGTATGCTTTTGCTTTCTAATGAGAAATCTAACTCTTCAGTCCACTGCTTGTGTTGTGTATCTTCAAGTTATTTCCAACTATGGAGACCTAAGGCAAACTTATGGGATTTTCTTGGCAAGATTTGTTCAGAAGAGGTTTGCTATTGCCTTTCCTGAGGCTGAGAGCATGTGGCATGCCCAAGGTTACCCAGTCAATTTCATGGCCAAGTGGGGAACTGAACCCTGGTCATAGTCAACACTCAAACCACTACGCCACGCTGGCTCTCCGCTGCTTATAGGGATGTACATTTAAAATGCAGCCAGCCAGGCAACTTCTTTGGTTAGTATGAGAGTTTGGATAAGTTACGTTTTAGACTAACTCCCTGAATCCCTTAGATGCTAACTGGGGGAGTCTGGAAATTGTAGCCCAAAGATAGCATTTCCAAAGCACAGCTGCAACTGAAAGCACAGGAAAAGGGCCAGAGCTAACCATTTTTGTACTGCTGGTTTGTACTGCTGGTTTTGGCCTTGCCAGGTTGGATGCAATTTGGCCAGCTGCTCCACTTCCAAAAGGGCTCTGGTACACAGTGCATGTTTGTAGTTGATGCTAAGAACCATACATTATCTGAATAGGATAACATTTGGAAAACACTGAGCTTGGAGGAAAGATGAATGTTGGGAAGCAATGCAACTGAATACTGCCCACAGTATATTCATAATTCCACCCCCACAGGAACCACAGATCTCCAAAATCCTCAGAATGGGTAGCTGTAGAGGTCATATGTGACTCCTACATTTGGCAGATATTTTGGAATTTCTTCTGATACTTAACCTTTCACACTGCATGGCCTGCAGCAGTTTTGCAATCAAGGCTTTCTTGTAATGGGTGTCTTTTGAGGCAGGCAGAGGCAACACATAGGATGAAACTGCAAGTTTGCTGGAAGCATGTTTTGTTCTTCTTTGAGACTGCTACAGAAATTGTTCCCCAGCTTTACATCAGAGTAGTAAATTATGGACAGCCTGTAAGGATGGAAATTGTGTTACGTGTGTTCTCAGAATGTTCTGTAGTGATCAATTGCACAGCAAGACTTTTCAAACAAACATGTTTAGTCCCAGTTAAGCAAAATAAAGCAAACTTGACTATCCCTAGGAAAGAGATAAAATGCCTGCTTCCTCTACTTTGCTTCCTTTTAAGTCCTGACTGAAGTAGGTTGTTTGAGTAATCCAGCTATTTTATGGACAGTTTTGTTGACAGTTCCTATTAAGTTACATCAGAACAAGAAAAAATATTTCAGATTCTTGGGTATCAGCATTAAAGTTTGGTTATGCTGTGCCTTGAACAGCAGTAGCTTTGAGTTTAAGCTATGAAATGAGAGCATGATCAAGCCTCTTCTGTTAATGTATGTGGGCATATAAAGTGCTAAACTATGATCAGATTGTTTTCCAGCTGTCACTGGCTTAAATCAAGGGTGGGTACCCCTCTAGATGTATTTATATTGCATCTCCTCTCTTCCCTGATAATTGTCCATGCTGGGTAGGGCTTATAGGAGTTGTGGTCCAGCAGCATTAGGAGGAACACAATTGCCCACCTCTGGCTTAACTGAAACAGAGGTTATTTCTCCTGTCCTTCTAAATCTGAGGAAGGTGTTTTAATTCTAGTTAACAGTTATATGCTGGATGACAGTGGAGAAATTGAAGCTTAATCCAGACAAGACAGATGTGCACCTGGTCAGTTGAAAGGTGAGTCAGGGAATGGTAATTCATTCTTTGATGGATGGGATTACATTTCTCCTGAAAAAGCAAATTCATTGTTTCTGTGTGCACTTTTGAATTCAACCCTGAACTTGGATTTTCAGGTCTCAGTCGTGGTTAGCAGTAACATCACATGGGGAGGCTCCCTGCACCCCTGACATGCATTCTTGGCTGCCCAGAGGCTTTTCTTCTAGGCCTTCCTGGGGGCTTTTTGGGGCCTTTTCAGGCCTTCTAGGCTGGCTTGGGGCCTTTTGGAGGCCTCCTGGGTGCTCTTTGGGGCCTTCTAGGCCTGCCTGGTGGCTTTTCGGGGATGCCCAGGGCCTTTCGGGGCCTTCTTGGCCCTCCTGGAAGCCTTTTGGGGGCAGTCTTTTTGGGGTCTTCTAGCCAGAGTCAGAGATCGGAAGTATCCTGAAAGCCCCCCTGCTCCCTGCACCGGGTGTCACCCAATCCTGGAATGCCACTGATGGCTAGGAGTGCATTCCCTCAATTAAAAGTGATGTTGCCAGTTGCATCTATTCCTGGAGGTGTCTAATGTGCCAATGGTGATGCATGCCTTAGATCAGGGGTAGGCAACCTTTCCCCTTTAAGGGCCGAGGGACTTCAGCTCCCAGAAGCCTCAGCCATGTTGGTCAATAGTTCCATGTTGGCCAATAGCTCCTGGGATTCTGGGAGCTGAAGTCCCTTGGCCCTTAAAGGGGAAAGGGTGCCTACTCTTGCCCTAGATAGCATCCATTTGGACTGCTTTAACAAACTGTTTGGGACTGACTTTGAAGAGTGTTCAGAAACTTCAACAGGTCCAAAATCCTATGACCAAACTGTTGATTGGTGCTGGTTACAGGAACATATAATTCCTCTGTTACAAGAGCTCCACTGACTACATGTCTTTTTCTGAGCATGATTCAAAGTTCAGACTATGATTTGTAAAGCCCTACGTGACAGGTCCACCTGAAAGACCCAGCTTTCAGATCTGCAGGAGAGGGTCTTTTCTTGGTCCCATCACCATCACTTTAGTGGCCACTCTCAGATTTTGGAAGTCCCTGCCAAGGGAGTTTAGACTAGCCTACATCTTGTTTTTCTACCAGCAGGCAAAGACTGACAGTCAGAAATTTTTAAATGGATGCACTGGACTTAAGATTTTACTGCTTAAGTATTTTTAGCTTAGAGTTTAACATTGTTTCAGTTGATGCTTTAATGCTGTCATTGATTTAATATATATTTTAATGTACCGTATATAATTTATTGTATTTTACTGGAGCCTCTTAAAAATGCTGTTTTACAGCTACTCTATATTCCAACCTTGGGAGAAAAGTTGGATAAAAATCAACTAAATAAATAAACAATAGATGCTTATTGGCTCTATATTGGAGAAGGCTTATAGACAGATATTTTATCATCTGCATTTTTACAAGACTTCCTCTTTGACATATCTGGGGTTCCTTTTTCATAGATTTAAGTAGTAGTTCTCAGACTTTTTGTATGATATATGTATTCTACAGTTTCTCAGATTTGCTTCTTTTTGAATGTGATAACCATGACTGAGTAACAGTTTACTGTTGCTGTAAATTGTTTATCAGATTGGGTCAGGAATTTTTAAGCCCAGATTCCTTTTTGTTTACTGTTTTTCTCATCAGGAAGTACATGGTACATTTCCTTGTACATTAGTACATTAAGTTGCCCAGCATGTGGCAGCACATCTTCATATCTCTTGTGAAAAAGTTGTGTGTCAAGCAGGTACGCATGCCACCTGTTCGACCTCTTAAGATGCAGTTGTTGTTGCTGTTGTGTGCCTTCAAGTCCTTTCCTGACTTATGGCAACTTTAAAGTGATCCTATCATGGATGCTTTTGGCAATATTTGTTCAGAATGGGTTTGCTTATTGCCTTCCTCTAAGGCTGAGAGAATGTGACTTGCTCAAGGTCACCCAATGGATTTACATGGATGAACAGGAATTTGAACCTTGGTCTCCAGAGTTGTAGTCCAATGTTCAAACCACTACACCACACTGGCTCCTGTAAGATGAGGTACTAAATAATAAATAGGAAACCAGTTATAGTTAGGGGCAGCTATGCCACCACTTTGATTCAAACAATAAACAGTGAGCTTGTTTTGAGGATTTATAGTAGTCCAGTAACATAGATTGTCCTCATCAGTGAATTTATTAACTGTATTATTGGAGCAATAAGAGATAATATCCTTGTGATAAAGTGGTTGGAAGAATTTTGTCCAAAGGGACAGTTGTTTTGAAACTGTTTTCAAATGCAGTAGGATTTCTCAGGTCCAAACTATACTTTTCAGGCAGACACTTTCCATCTTGCATTCTCTACCTTTGTAAAGTGTATTTTCAACCGAGTTGTCCAAAGATATTTTGCCCGTCTGAGGTGGATGAGAAAATGCCAAACCCACCCCAAGAAGCTAGCCAAGTTATTTTGGCATCTGTGGCAGAAAATTTCACAAGCATGTCTTCTGTTTAGCAGGAAAATGCAGTAAGAAATTGTACTGTTTTTATGCTGTTAACCGCCCGGATTGGGAAACCATTGGGCGGTATACAAATAAATTTTATTATTATTATTATTATTATTATTATTATTATTATTATTATTATTATTATTAAATAACTATTAGTTTGCTTCCCTTTCATTATCCCACATATTTGCTCCCTAAGGAGACAGCCCCATTCTAGCTAATGGTAGGGTTGGCCCTGAGTTTCATTAATTCTGGTGATATTGTCCTGTTATATGTGATTACATTGTTATACTGTACGTATACCTCCTCCATATCATTGGCTGCCATGGACTGAATGGGGTGAGGTATTATATGACACCTGGGATGCTGCTGCTAAGTAAAGTTACACATTTTGGGAAGGGAGCAAGAACATGATGTAAAGAGATCATCTTCAGTCACCCTCTGATAACTATAATTTAGATTGGCCTTCTGTAACTTGATGCTCTCCAAGTGTTTTGGACTACAACATCCATCCTCCTCAACCAGGATGGGCCTTGATGGAATTGAGCTTTCCTTTATCTTTTAAACTTTAATATAGGCCAGATCTATACGGGCCAGAATACTGTAGGAGCAGCTCAGAGTAAGTATTCTGACCCCGGAGCTACCCCGATGTCCCCCCATTATATGGGACTGTCCGTTTTGACACCGTGTGGCTATTCGGATGTGTGTGGCGCCTGGCACTGTTGTGTTGAGTTGCTCACTCTAAGATCAGAACAAGGCATCCATGACTGGGCACCTTGTTCTAACCTCAGAGTGAGAGACTTGGTGTGGTAGTGCCAAACACCACAGTGGGATGTGCTATAAACAGCTGTTCTCTTCCGGGAAGATCTGGAGCTAAACATGAGTTTTAAAAAATGTTTTAAAGGGTGTATATGTTGGATTTGGTACTGATCCAAAACCGGGGATTGGGCAGTGCATTGTCCAGAGTCCCTGCTGAAAGGACTGGAGGTGGGGGAGGACATTTTATTTGGCTTTTGGGACTACTCCATATTCATAATAAAATCTGTGTTGTCTGGCCTTGGCTGAAACTCCTCTGGAGGCTGCCATGGGGATGGGTCAATGAGCAGAGGAGAGTGTTTATGTGCCTCTTTACCTCTGGGGAAAAAAAAATAAACAGAATGCTGATATTTCTACCAGGCTTGTTTTCGCAGCTACACTGTTCTGTATTATTGAGGAGCAATCTTGTCTAGACCTGATTGCATTTGGCTACAAATTTATAGAATTGTTAAAAGCATGTGTGTATTATACTAATGCAGTTTGTCTTCTTAAACTGCTTTAAATGTTGATTTAAATGTTGATTTAAATGTTGATTTAAAACATGAGTCTTTTGATTTAAAACATGAGTCTTAAAATTATGGAAGCTTGCAATGAATATCGACTATAAAGTGATTTAACATTTACAGAGAAGTCAGGTACATGGCAGAGTTTTAGGACAATTAATGATACTGTTCTAGGTGTTTTCTGAAAATAGTCAGGGCAGTATGCATGCTGCATAAATACTATGTCCTAAATACCCTAAAGGCACCAGATCCTGTTTGATCTTGGAAGGTAAGCAAGGTCAGTCCTGGCTATTGCTTGAATGGGAGACTGCCAACGAATACTAAGTGCTGTAGTCTGTAATTCAGAGGAAGGGGCTGGCAAAACCACCTCTGACTATTCCTTGCCTAAGAAAACCCTATGAAATTCATAGGCTCACCATAAGTTAACTTGAAGACACACACACACACACACACACAGAGTAAAGGAACCAAGAAATGTTGTGCTCCAGTTCAGTTTGTCTTTTATGCTTCTGGGCAAGTTTAATAACACCTCCTAAAAGCAGCAACTTAATTTCCTAAGTGGGTTGCAGTTTGGGCACTCGGTCTCTAAAAAGTTCTCCATCCCTGCATGCATCTCTGTATGTATATAGTCCTCTGTGTGAATACAGTGAAAGGTTTCTTTTTAAAAAGTACAAATTCTACATTTCTTGCCCTGAACACTTCTGATACTGTTTGAAGTGACTCTTCAGCAAGGCTGACCTTTTTATAAATCAGCCTAATGGCAGCAAGGCTCTGTGCTGCACTTAAGATCTGCTGTATAGCATAATCCTATCAGTTTACTGGATCAGTCTTTGTAAATGGCCTTTACATTAAGGGATTGAGGGAAAGTTGTTTGAAACTAACCACAGATTCCATTTGGTTTTAAAAGCCAACCCTGTTGGAACATCTGTGGGGCCCTTCCTATAGTTGTGTTTGGACAATGCGTTTGCGTGCTATGAGCTTTCTGGATAGTATAGTTGTTGCTGTTGTTGTTGTGTGCCTACAAACCAGGAATGGGGGGCATGTTCCTAACACTTCTGTAGATAAAATTTCAGCACTTCTGTTTTAATCAGGAATATAGGTATTGGTTGTGCATTTCTTTGTCTCTTATGTGTTTAAATAAATGAGTGTTTTAAGAAAATGGGGTTTGCATCCTGAATATAGTTATCCTTGCTTACTAGAACAGTCCTCCTTCTGAATGAAAGCCTGCAGAAAAAGTGGAATTCCTGTATCTCAGTATTCTGCTACATGTACTGTTTGTCATCATTTTCTGTTGGAATTCTGTGTTGAACTCTGTTGTGTTATAAACTTCTCTCCTTACATTTCAACACATTTGGCCCTCTGTATCCACAGATTCTTTATCCATGGATCCTTTATCCACAGGTTCAAGCATCCATGGTTTGAAAATATTAAAAAAATACATTCCAAAAGGCAAACCTTGATTTTGCCATCTTATATAAGGGACACCATTTTATTATGCCATTGTATTTCATGGGATTTAGCATCCATAGATTTTGGTATCCATGGAGGTCTTGGAACCAAACTCCAGCAGAAAGCAAGGGATCACTATAGTTCCATGCAAAAATGCTCCATTTTGTGCTCTTCAGTAATCAGAGATCCACAAATGTGCATCTTTATTTCATCAATAAATGGGTAAGGGCAAAGTCAGATTAAAGCACTAGGGCAGTGATGGGGAAACTATGGCACGTGTGCCAGAGGAGGCACTCAGAGCCCTCTTTATGGGCACGTATGCCATCACCCCAGCAGAGTTTGCCAGAGTTTGTTATTATAAAGCTAGAGGGGCATGGCACTTTGTGATAAATAAATGGGTTTTGGGTTGCAGTTTGGGCACTCATTCTCTAAAAAGTTCTTCATCACTGCATTAGGGATTCTGCACTAGTTGCCAAAATAATCCCGTCTCCACTACTTGATTCACATGTGAGGGCTGTTTGAGAATGATGGGATAGATATTGACTTGTGAAATGCATAAATAATAAAACATATACGTAGTAAGAGCAATGACACAGAATCTTCATGTGTATGAATTCATTTTCTCATTTGCATTTGAGACCTAACCCAGCCTGATTCCATGCTTTTTTGATTCAGTTACTGAAACATTGAAAATAACGGAAACATTGGGAAATTCAAGAAGTGAGTGGGGAAAAGAAGAAGTAATCTGTACTTCATTTTGGCCTGTAGCTTGGGGCCTACAGCCATTGCGAGCCTGGAGCGATTGTACCAATTGAACTATTGATAATCTAGACTTGGATAAAGGCTCCTCTCTGACTTCTTGCTACATTTAGAAAATAGACAACTTCCTTCTCCTGTATGTAGAGAGATCTTGTAGCACCTTTGAGACTAAAGAAGTTGGCAGCGTGAGTTTTCATAGACTTAAGTCTACTTCCTCAGATGCATTTGGTGGAGTGGAAAGCCAGGGGCAGACCTATATATGCCATAGGTGTGTAAGAATGTCAATTCAAATTCAGAACATACTAGTACTATCTCATGGATGGGACTTGGCCTTTACATTAAGGGATTGAGGCAAAGTTGCTTGAAACTAACCACAGATTCCATTTGGTTTTAAAAGCCAACCCTGTTGGAACATCTGTGGAGCCCTTCCTATAGTTGTGTTTGGACAATGCGTTTGCGTGTTTGGACAATGCGTTTGCGAGCTTTCTGTATAGTATAGTTGTTGCTGTTGTTGTTGTTGTGTGCCTTCAAGTCATTTCCGATTTATGGAGACCCTAGCCTATCACAGGGTTTTCTGGGGCTGAGAATGTGATAGTATAAGCTTGCCTTAACCAGTCTGGAACACACTTTGTGTGATCTTGTTTTGAGTTATAGCAGTACACGTCCTGTTTTTGGATATCTGTAGCAATTGGCATGAGATGAAAGCTCAGGGAAATACCCTGACAAATTCCATATCTACGTGCCAGTGAGTGGGCCTGTGAGTATTCATATAACATTAATAAACAGATGGCTGCATGGAAGTAAGCATAACTTCAGTTTGACAGCTCCCAGTTTCATTTATGGATTTAAAATAGTTTTCCTTATAAAGATTATGCTTTGTAAAGAAAAAGTAATGGTATCCTTTTCTGTCCAAGGTTGCATTGTCCTAGGAATAATCTCTCAGAGGTCACATGCCAGTAATGGGCTGGAGGCAGAAGGAGGCAAATATCAGCATATGTCTCTGAAAACGAAGCTCCT